ATTTGATTTTGAATCTTGTTCGAGTGTGAAATAAGCGTCGAAGTGACGGGAAAATTACATTATAGAATGCAACTTTTTACGTCATCTTATACTTTATCTATCAAGGTGCGGTCAATTTAGTTCAACTCGCAAGTGTAGCGCTAGTGGATTCGAAGTTTAGAATGAAGTCTTATAGAATCACACTGCAGTACGCTGTATTATTTGCGTTGATAAGGCTTTTTTGCTGCGCTATCAAATAAAAACCAAATATTTACTCTTACTTAACGTGTAAGAAGCACGAATAGAATAGAATAGAATAGAAAACGAAAAGTAATATATTCTTCTTCTATCGAGAGCAGATTGACAAAGTCGTATTTTTTTCTTAATTCAGTAATAAAGGCTCAGCTTTCTTCACATCTTAAGGCCCAAGGCATCCCCTCGCGGGTTTAATTGCGCCAGCATTGTTGCGACTGATTTGATTCTGTATCTCTCTATAGGGTACAATCATAATAACGAGCTTAGCGGCCGGCACACCCATAAAGTATAGAGGCGGTGCTGAGAAATTGACAAATAAAAAAAAAACAAAATGTTTTATTCCGTTCGTAACAAATCTTCAATTTCACATTAGTTCTTAGTATTATTATATTTATCTAAACCGCATAGTCGTTACGTTTAGAATTTTTTTTCTTAAAAAATTAGTCCAATAAATTCTATGCACCGTTTTTTACTCATCGCATTTTACGTATCAAACAAAGTATGTACGAACATATTTGCATAAAGCTTATTAAATAAATAAATTAATACTATTTAATTTTAAATGTAAGTATATTATATGATATTAGTTAATGCCATCAACCATCAGAATATAAAATAAATTTATTATCAATATTATCGTTAACCATTCATATCGTATAAAACTTCTACAAATAATAAAATTTAGAAAAATAAATTACTTTGACATTTTTGTTAATATAAACAAAACATCCACCACTGAATTAAAAAATGCAAAAATAAAAGACAATACTTAAAAAGACAGTAATTATTTCATCCGTTCGACCATTCTTGTACCTACCTAAGAATGATTGACGAAGCAGTAACACGTCTATGCATCTACCGCCACGTGTCATACACACTCTTGGCCCGACAATTTACAAACAAGAACTTACTCCTAATTGTGTTTGCGATTCCTTTAGAAGGCTCTTTTGACTCGCCTACAATTGTGAGAACTCGTTTTGAAACGAAACGACGTTAAATACGACCAAATTTTAGATAATTAACTCAGATTAGCGTCTTTTAGCAAATAATTCGCTTTTGTTGCGAAAGATTAGCGGAAAAGCTATCGTCGACATTATTTATTGGTTTGTTATTTTTTTTATTAATAGTTATATAATAAATGTATTGCGATTATAAGTAAAAACAAATGCTACCTAGCTATCTAGACGCGTGTTTCAAGGAAATTGCTTCATTATAAAAAATAAGTTAATAAAATGCTAAATTCACAATTCTGAAAATCGCAATCGGTGTGATCGTATGTTACTCAATACTACTGAACTGATCTAAATGTATAATGATTCCAATAACAAAATAGGTACTATAACAAACCTCCCAAGCGCGCGGCGCATAGCATTCCGCAATTCTCAAATAGACCACTACAGATAGGGTCCAATAGGGCTGATGTTAAGCCAGGTTGCGCGTCAAATGGAATACTCAGGTACCGCGGTCCTGGACTGGAGCAAGAGAAGGAGCGGGATGATATTCCGTCAGCAAGGGTCTGACACTCCCTCTTGCCTCACACTGGCCGAGGGAAGCCAATTGATGATTTTTACCCCTTGAAAAATGCCAGTATCATCTGCACTCATTAACAATAGCAGGGAAAATCAGTTGCAAATTAATTAATTAATTAAAACATAGCAAAAAAGGATTAATTAGTACAGTTTTAACAAACGCAACGAAACCAATAGTTAAAACTACCGCGAAAATATCGAATATCAAGTAACTTAAAACCCATGCAAATTCGGAAAAACCTATTATAATCTGCATCGCACACCGCTGGACGCTCTTTTCATTCGATACCTTTTGTTGGCGGATTCAATTAAGTTTACATCGGCACCGAGGTCAGTTAATAAAAACCGAAGCCTACAAAAATTGGTGCGTAAATCAAATTCAATAAAGTGCAGTACAATAGAACGGGACGGGACATCGGAAAATGACGGCGGGAACAATGACTCACACGCACACATCGACAATCAATTTATATTGTCAAGCACACGAAACGGATATGTTGCTGTTATTACCGTTGAGGTTTTCATCATGTCGATATGAAACGTGTTTCAACTGATTTCATTGTTACCCGAAACCATGTAAGTTTTATAATAAAATTGACAATTTTATTAGCAAAAATCAATACGATAGAAATACTCTGTTCTATTTTAATGATAATAGGCGGCGCTGATCACTTACCATCAGGTGATTCGTCAGCTTGTTTGCCTCATATCACATTAAAAATCTACACTAAATGACCCAACCAGTTACCATGCATTCTTGATTGTAATTCTTCTTCTAAACAGATCTAGTCAGAAATTAAAAAAAATCCATTTATATTATAATTGATCCGTATACTTATTTTGACACAGAGATTTTCACAAAACAAAATACAAAATCACAGAAATAATTGCAATTATATTGCGCACCCTTTCCCCTGTTATATGCACCGATTGAACACCTCCCTTTACCCTTCCACATTAAGGATTCCCGTCCACCTTTCCACGTCTTCGAATTAATCGCCCGAGAGCCGCTCTCTATTAAAGTTTCTTCGCAAGTTGTTTAAGAGGCTCAAGTTCCTTAAAACTCTGCAGATAATGTTAAACATTCATTTAAGTGCGCGAGGACCGCCCAACTTCCGAATTGTCGTATAAATCTTCTAATTCTTGAAGCGTTTAATATTCATATCACCGTTCCCGAGTCACAGTTGGTAAGCCGGCGAAAAGTTCGCCTAGCCTCCGCGGAATTCGTACGCAACCGGTACCTAATGCGAATATACTCACACGCTTCAGGTATTTAGTCCTAAGTATATTATGTTGGATGTGAAGCTACATTTGTTGAGCACAGCAGGTATTTTAGCAATAGGATTCTTCATGCCTACTGTCAAACCTAATATTGATTATATATATTTTTTCTTAATATGTATACAATTTTTGTATGAGTAGGCGAAATAACAAAAAAGAAAAAACGTTATTTAAAATTGTAAACTAAATAAATATCGAAAATTCCAATAAAATATAAATTCAATTGAATTTCTGTACACAAACATTAGGTAGGTACGCACTGTCACAAAATTTAGTTTCTATTATTTTAAACAATGAATAAATATCCATATAAAAATGAAATAGCACAACTAGAGCCGTTAAAAAATCCCGGTATCATTTTATATTCACCAACAAAACAATAAAATCAGCCGCTGTTACGGATACCCGTGCGGATACCCTATAAATATTCGTTCGATTGCTTTTCACAAAATCAATATAGATAGCTATTAAAACACAACTACGATTAAAAGTTATAGAGCCGTTTTATTGACATTTTAGGGCATCGTTTTATAACGTCGGACGTAGAAGTGTAAAGCAATTGGGGGATGCAGCCAAAACACGTAGCTCGTTCATTCGGACCGTTATAACAATACCAAGCTGAGAAGACACCGCTTGCCCCTAAAACCAAATAAAGTTTAAAGACATTTAGAGAAAGCTTAGAACAGTAAGACAGGTCCATGTAAACTGGACATGTAATAACCATTGGAGCAAGTGGTATTGACGTGGCTGCATCAGCGGTTTGGATACGATATCCCCGCTCATTTGTGACAATGATAGTGCTACTCTATCTTGAAGTGGCTATTCTAATTGTTGGTTTGTAGGCAATTCGGAACTAATTTACAATTAGTTTTAAAAAGAGCCCAGCTTTTAAAACAAGTGTGGGAGAGCCATGCTTCGGCACGAATGGGTCGGCTCGACCGGAGTGATACCACGGCCTCACAGAAAACCGGCGTGAAACAACCACAGTGATGTGTTTCGCCGTGTGAGTGAGGTTACCGGAGGCCCAATCCTTCCCCTTCCCCAATCCAGTTCCTAAATCTCCAAATCCCTAATCCCTAAAAGGTTGGCAACGCACTCGTAACCCCTCCGTTACGGGTGTCCATGGGCGCTCGTTTGCCGACCTATTACATGAAAAAATATATATATATATTACATAAATCACATTCAAACCTAAGTCTTTCCCCTCTCAATGTTTTATACATTTATCCAATTTGAAATAAAACTGGATAGACGTACCTACACAGCAAGCGAACGGTGCGCGCCCGCCCAAGCCATGTTTCCGTCCACATATTTTAAATAAACTGTTCTTTTTTATGTTCTTAGCATATTTTTCAAAAGCCGACGCTACTCCAAGCGTTTTAATACGCACTCTTAAACACCCCTAACATGAATAATTAGGTGTTCCCTAGATTTATCCGCAGCCGTTATCTGTAAAACACGCGTTTTAAAATCGCGAAGTCATTCTTTTCGCTTTATTGAGGATAATACATCTTGGCTCGGATGAGATTCTGATTAATGTCTTTAACTCGAGTCGGCGTAACTTTGTCAAAGATAGCGGAGAAAAATAAAGGGACGTGACTCGACTAATTCGATTTTTACAACGGAGAGAGTTGAAAGAATTTATAGCATAATGAAAAAATGAGGGTTTAAATACTTGGATACGTATGTAAAACTCTTTATTTTACCTGGCAGTGAAAATATGCAAAGAAAAAGGATATTAATTCTTCTTTTGAAATTTCTACTGTCAGGTCAGCAATGTATTTGACGGTGAAACGTCATACAGTTTTCCTATAAATATTTATGATAGTATTCTTTAAATATGAAAACTAAAACTTTAATTGCACTATGTTTTGGTAATCCGACGACTTTTCCGTTTACGTATTTTTCTTTCTCCGTGAGGGATAGGTTTGTAATTGTATGTTTTATTTTGCAGCGATGTCAGTATGTGTCGAAGTATACGCGGACGGTGAACTGGAAGTAAAGCGAGGGATTTATCCTTTCATGGTAAGTCAGTTGCAATTTGCTTTGTTGTGACGCCACCAAGCTGCTGAAGAACAATGACATAGCATGTCACGGCACCAGTGAAACAAACAAACATTTCTGAAGTAACCTATAGGAGCTAAGGATTTGGAAGGCCTCGAAAAATACAGATTTCATATCTGCCGTGACAAACATTAATGAATCGTTATAAGAGTGATGTGCTTTTTATGATCATATTTATTTCATATCAATGAGCAATGTTTTTTTTTCGGATTTTGGCCACTATCTCGCCCGGTGGTAGGCGATGATGGGAACTATGGAGTACGCCTACCCGTAGGCAACATCTTCAGTCGGGCCTTGAAAACACACATACATAGGTTACACTCTTCGAAGAACAAATATTTTATACCTACATTATTAAGTTAAGATGTACATACTTATTTTTCAGTAATAATTTTATTATTACAAAATTAACTGAAGTGCTTTTTTAGGCTTTCTTATATTACCCTGATGAGTCAGTGACAGACGGTAGTGGCGCCAGATTTCTTCGTGGCGCAGTGCTCATCCGACCCGAGTGGCTGGTCAGCTCCGCTGTCGGCTCCAGTATCCTAACAGAAGAAGGTTTTCCAAAAAAAACACTCCTAGCGAGACTCGGCGCAATTACTATTGATACAAATTTTACGCTTAACGAGGATGAGGATGAACAAGAACGAGAGGTATGGAAATCATACGCCATTTTAAAACGTTGTAACGATTTTCTCCTAAAAAATACTATGAATAAAATGTATTCAATTTATGATAGGCATCATTAATAATTTTATTTTTGATTTTCAAATGCAGGTGATACAAATAGTTCGTCCATACAACCACAGTGCGACGCAGTGGTGGCGCACAGATATCTCGTTGATGAAGGTGCTACTGCCATTTAATATGACTTCAGCTGTGGGCATCGCTAACCCCAGCCTTAAACGAGAGATCACCGAGAAGACTTGCACCATACTCGTTTTTGCCGTAAGTACAATTGATTCAAGGAAATATTTAAATAACATTAAAAGTGGATGGATTGATTACCCAAGAAAAATTATCTACAGGCATTAGAAATTTTTAACACATGTGCTGTTCATACATATACAATCATCACGACAAACAGTCTTTAGGACTTTGGTGTCAAGCGGCCCCGACAAGGAGCAGATGAAAGAATGGAATGAGAGTTTTTAGTCACTCGGAGTCCGACACTTCCTCTCGCCTTAACTAAGATGAAAGAATTATCGCCAATGAAATTATCAAAAAGAATTATTGTCAAATGTAGGAGATTCATGCTTCGACACGAATAGGTCTGCTCGACCGGAGTGATACTACGGCCTCACAGTAACCGGCTTTAAACAATCTGGTTGTGTTTCACCGTGTCACTGAGTTTACCGGAGGTCCAGTCCTTGCCCCACCATCTCTCCCTAATCCCTAATTCTTCAAAATTCTTCTCTTCAAAAGACCGGTAACGGATTTGTAACTCTTCTTGTGTAGCGGGTGTACAAGAGAGGTGTCTATTGCTTCCTATCATCCGAATCCGTCAACTCGTTTGCCGACCTATCACATTAGCATATGACATGAACAAAAATTTATAGGTATTAATAAATTAATATTTTTCCGCTCAAAAAACATTTTGAAAATGAGACCTTCTTGATTTACAGAAAAAAGATGGCAACTTGAGTGAAGAAAGAAACTTAATGCAGTTAACTGTAGAACTGCTACCACCTTCAATCCAGGACTGTGGTTCTCACTTTGTCAGTAACACAATGACCTGTGCTTCTCACTCAGATGATAACAAGAACGCATTGTATGATCCCAATTTTTGCCAAGTAAGCTCTTTTGCAATTTCATTTGATTGGACTTAACGTTTTTAATTTGAAAGGAAATAATTCCCTACCACTTTTTATGCAAAAATGGCATTTTTAACTATAACATTTTTCTATTCTAGGGAAACAGTGGTGGACCACTTATTTGTGAGCAAGAAGTAGTGGGAATTCAAACGTACATTGATAATGATTGCAAGCAGCCACATCTATACCAGCTGTTGTCTGCGTGGGAAAACTTTATCTCATGCGGCACAGAAGACAAGTGCCACACTGAGCAGTGCACGAATATTTGTGACGTAACCGACAAAGATCCGCCTCCACAAGACGCTATTGTTCCAGAAACTACTACTGCTACACCCAGCGTAAGTTTGATAGAGACTACGATAGCTCCTGTTCCCGTCGTTACTTCGTCCGTTCCAGAGACCACAATAGACAGCGAAAGTGAAGCTTCAAGTACGATAATACCGTCTGCAGCACTATCAGAAGAAATAATAACAACAGGACATTCATCGTCAGTGCAAGAGCCCTCCCCCACTCATTCAGTATCTGAAACAGAGAGCACTGAAACGAAGGCCTGGCCAAAGGCACATACAGATGAGCGTAAGAAACTTGAAGAAGGAAATTTAGAAAACACGGATAGGAAGCCAAGTGTAGAAGCTCAACAACACGATGGAAACGTCAGAGTGCGCAGTGCCGGCCAAAGCAGTGCGCCTAATATTGTAAGCCTTTTGTTTGGATTCTTCATTTTGGCGTGTTTGATTTAATGTTAATTTTTGTGATATTACTTGTCAGAGTATTAAACGTTTGTTTGGTACCTCGGTTTTAATTTGATCATACATTTTCTTGATGGTTCGATAGTTTGATTCTTCGTTAATAATAAAACTAGAATGAAGCGCCCGGTAAGACGAGCGGCGCGGCGCTGAAGTTTGTCGAATAAGTAGAATTAAGTAAGGTTGCAAGGTTCACGCCTCCGTGGCTTGCTCTAATAGCATTAACAAGTTTCCAGACCATATTGACGGAATTTATGCATTCTGCAATTAAGAATTTAATAGGTGATTGTTAGATCTATGTATGGTAGTTACTATTTTAAATACACAAGTTATTTAAAATTATGCGAGCAATGTTTCGAAACGAATGGACTATAGTTATAGCAGGGCAATAAGAGCAGTGTTAAAAAACAGTTGCTGTATTAGTGAGGTTGCTGGAGTAAAAATCCGCCGATCCCACTTACTCAATCCCCAAATCACCAATTTCCTAACCCCCAAAGCAACCAGTGCACTTGTGGTAGTGGCGGGTGTAACGGTAAAACGGGGTGAATAGAATTAAAGGGATGAATAGATACAAAGACAATTCTCCAATTTCATTCACCCCTTTTTTTTGTGAGGGGAAAATCATCAAATGACTTCTCCCGCCCAGGGTCAGGCGGGAGGGAGTGTCAGACTCTTACTGACTAAAAACCCCCCTGTTCCTACTTCTGCTCTAGGCCGAGGTCGCGGTGCCTCATTGCGCTTACCCCGCAACCCCGGCTGGACATCAGCCCTATAGGGCCCCGTCTGTGGTGGTATATTGGCTCTTCGAACGCGCGCGGAACGCTACGCGCCGTACGCTCGGGTCTGGTTCTGGTCGGGCGGCGAGCTACCCTTACTCGTCGTCCGCAGACCCGCGCTTACGGTGGCCGGAGATCATCTCTCGATCCCCGACGCCCGGAATGTCGCCTTCTGCGGCGGCTGGGGCGCGAGGAGGATAGTTCCCTCGCGCGCTCCGCCTCCTCCTTTGCGAGCATAACTGCTTCGCAGAAGGAGGAGATAGCTTGCCAGTTCCTCTCACGCTGCACCATGGCCTCGATTAAGGCCGGGCGCGAGAGGTCGCCGCCGCCGATCGCTTCCCTGAGAACACGGCGGTGCTCAGTCCAAGCAGGGGACTCCGCCACCGTATGCTCCACCGTGTCCTCTAGGTTATCCTCACAGTGACGACACTCGGGCGTTTCCTTCCGCTGGATCCGAAACAGGAACCTACCGAAGCTGCCGTGCCCGGTAAGCACCTGCGTCAGGCGGAAGGTGAGGACGCCGTGGCGTCTCTCAAGCCACTCCTCAAAGAGGGGTCTTACCGCTACTATAATAGCGTGCCCGGCCCTTGGTTGCGACAGTCGCTGCTTCCACTCAGCCATGAGATCTCGCCGGAGCTCATTCCGCCACGCACTAATTTGGCGTGGCAGAGGATCCTTGCCCCGGCGACGCGCGTCTGCGCGCAAACTGTAGACGCGCGCGAGCGCCTTCGCTTCCAGATCTCATGGCGGTGATCCGGCAAAACTTCATTCACCCCTCAAATTCCATTCACCCCATTTTACGGTACACCTATAGTACCAATTGCTTACCAACGGGTGCTTCAGTGCTTTACTGTTCGCTGAATTATCCAAAACATCTATCACTAAGACACGAGAAACAAAAAAGAAGGATTTTTATATAAATAAGAGACTATCTGCACCAATGAACAACGCACCTTTTGCTATCTTTATATTTTACTAATTCCGAGTCATTGTGAAACTAATTATCATATCTGTAGAAGACAAATCCCTGAGAGTCCCGGCCAGCCGGCGGCGGCGCGTTGTCGTGGCGAACGTCCTTATTTGCATTTTCACAAGTCGCGGTTAAGTACACTTTCCAAGTCTACAACCCTCTTGAAAATTTGTTTCTGATGCGTTAAGGTTTTAAACATACTTTATGGCTTACATAGTTTGTGGTTGCTTGAGTTGTTTTAATAATGATTTATGTAATGGTTGGTGTCATCTCTAGTTAATTTTGTTAGATATGTAACGTATTATGTGCCGTATTACAAAGTAGCCTGTGTGTTATTCCAAACTTTAACAACTTTAATTTAGATCCGCTCAGTTTTTACTTGAAAGGTTAACATGGTATGTAAAAGTGTGAGAGAGCCATGCTTCGGCATGAATAGGTCGGATCGACCATCACTCAGGTCGATCATAGCCTCACTGAAAAACCGGCGTGAAAGTTACAAGAAGCCCGATCGTTCCACCCTTTCCCCAATCTTGAATCGTCCCAGACTCAAATCTCTAATCTTCAAAAGGCCATTTATGTGCTTGCAAGTTGGCTGATGTTACAGGTTTCTATATCATGTACCAAAATTGGAACAATCATTTATCTTTATTTATGGCAGCCATGGAAATAGCTTTCCGAGAAATTCGAGTAAATATTACACATTATTTCATAACATCTAAAAATTTACACTGAAACCGTTTCATCTTAAAACTGAATAGCATTTTCTTCCGAAACTTCCCAAGTGCACTGAATCGAAATGTATCTTAATACGACTCGATGTGTTTAAATTCGAAAGGGGATCGCATCGGAAAACTGTTATGCATATTTTAAAGTTAAATTTACTTACATCGAACCCACAGTGCCGAAGGAAGATTCGACTTTAAAATATCTCTTTGCCAACTTTAAAATGTTTTATGATATTCGACGGACGTGATAACGGCGAAATTTTTGAATAACCCACTCAATCGAAATGAATATAAAACATATTCATTTGAATTTATCGTTCAAGGAATACGTGACTTATTATACTTTGAATAATATTTCATTTGTTTATCCTTAACCTGTTTGATTTCTGTATTAGTTAGTATTTCGTAACAATATATGTATTCAATACTATATTACTTGTAAACGACTAACACCAATTCGGTATAATTCGAGTAGACGCTTTTTTGATTTAGGACTGATTTTTCAAGAGTCAGATAAATGTTATCTGACGAATAAAATGGTAGCTGCCACTGTCTAATACAACCATTCTGACGCGACAGCATCATAATTATTTCCCAGATAACTTTTATCTAACCATTGATAAATCAGCCCTTAAAGTACAATCGACAAGGTAGTCGTACAGGCTAAAATCGAGACGTACCTAATAAAATCTATATAATCAGAAAGTCTAATTGCACTGTAAAACAAAATGTACCTAAGTCATAATTATCTCATTTTGCAAAATGAATATGGAGAAAAATAAGTATAAGAATGTAGCGCCTTAACTTTATATTATAGCAAGAGTACTAACAACGATTTCAATTCAGCACATTAATTACTGTGAAACAAACGCAACTTTTAGCATTTGATAATACAAGGAGGGTCGAGTTAACAAACAAAAGGAATTAATTCAACAATCTCATAAAAAGAAATAAGCAGTTCATAAAACTTTTAATAATTAAAACTCAAATAAAAATAGGAGCTTCGGGGGTATAGCTTGACCAGTTTGCTTAGACCTACCTCACCCTTCTCTGAGCTGCGAAGAAATGGTGAATCTGACGGAATTTTATATTAGTCGTGGGATCTTTATAAATGGGCAATGAGAAAGAAACATTTTCCTATATAAATCCCTGCTGGAGGGTAAAAGAACTGACAACTGTCGTTAACTCATCCTGACCGGGCATTAAGGAGTGTAAACAGGGAATAGCTCGTAAAAATAATAGCTCGCCTATTTATAAAGATAAGGATTATTAATAGGTACATTTTATATTTTATTTTTCATACACTCCCACCGCCTTTAGGGATCCCCATAGAAGTGTCTAGCAATATTAGCAATCAGGGTTTTATTAGAGCCAAAAGCCGAATAAGATGCTTCACTGACTTATTATTAAAGTCCCACAATAGACTATTATACTTTTAATAAAAATGTACTTTTAATGTGTGAATGTCGTGGTGGCCCGGAGGTTAAGGAGCCCGCTTCTCATGCATGAGGGTGTGGGTTCGAAACCTGGCAAGTACCAATGTGACTTTTTTCGAGTTATATGTACTTTCTATGATTATTTAGACATCACTGACATACGGTGAAGGTCGTTCGTCGAAACCTGGACTTATAATTTCTAATTGTGTTTTAAAGTTTATAATCGCCAACCCGCATTGATCAAGCGTGGTGATTAATGCTCTAACCTTCTCCGTATGAGAAGAGGCCTTTACTCAGCAGTGAGCACTTATAGGCTAATGGTGACTTTAATAAAAATATTTAATTTTTGTGATTGGGTTCCCAATCTTGGTTGGGGCGACTTTTCTACTTCGCAATACCGTATTCACCTATTCATAATATGTTAGCGAATAGGTAAGCGAATCCATAGCGAAAGTTTTAATAAGTACAACTTAAGATCCTAACTTAAAAAACAAATGAACCGATATGTTATTCATATTTAAGTCTATAACAGAACTATGTAATTGTATGTAAGTTACTACATGCACCTGTTTTTTTTTTTCAAATAATAAGAAAACCCTTTTAAACACATAACAGCAAAGTCTAGATTTCAATGTACTTAAGTTCAAATTGTTTTCGGTACAAAACAATTCCATTGAAAGATAACGCGTGTTACCCACTACGCTCTAACCAGAACCAACAACTTAATAAATCGTCCAGCAGATTGCGCTATCTCGTGATCTCAATCTTACGCTTGCAGTCACATTTTCTTTTAAACTCTTTAGAAGTTGCAATCGCAACAAGTACAACTACTAGTTTTTTTACATTTATATTATTAATTATAAACTATGTTAAAAAAATATGCTAACGCATTGCATTTGGGAATTAGAGTTTCAGAGCTTAAGGTTTTTTTTTAAACATTGCCCCACACTAGGGCTCTCGCCTGTACCGTGGGTGCGTTTACAAACATACAATTTCACATGCACATCACACCCAGACCCGGAACAACAATCTGTCACCATCACACAAAGAGTTGTTCCGTGCGGGAATCGAACCCGCGACACTTTGCGCGGCAGCCAGTTGCCCAGCCACCGCGCCAAACGTGCAGTCATCAGGTTTGGTCAGGGGAAGAAGGATTGGGCCTCTGATAACCTGGCTTACACATCGAAACACAATGCTGGTTATTATTACACGGTTATCTGTGAAGCTGTGGTATCATTTCGGTCGAGCCAACACATTCGTGTCAAAGCATGTCTCTCTCACAATCAGATAGTTGTGTTAAACTAAAAAAAGTTAAGTTATATTAAAAAAGATCACCTATAAACGACTTAGGTATGCACTACTCTATATAACAGTTTGAAAGATAAACCACAGACACATTAGCAAGTAGTTGATTACAGAATCATCAAATCTTCCAACGACGCAGACAGCGATGTCTCTGTAGGCAATTTTCAATCTCTTTCCTATTTGTGACAGTAATAAAGCGGCCGGGAAAAGTCAACAATCAATTTTGTATTTCAATTTATTCCCAACCATCCTAGTTCGTGCGATGATAAGAAAAAGAAAAACGCGTTCATTGAAAACGGAAATTATTGCAAGAAGCCATCAGTGGTGTGCGCCCGGCTTCCTACGTTGTTATATTTGTGTTTTTTTTTTTCATTTTTTGCCAAACGGTTTCACAGTTTTGATTTGTGAGCCGTCGCGTCGGTTGGAGCCATTTTTCACGCACCTCATTGTGAAGTTCACGCTCGAGGAGGCCGGCTGCGAAGGTTGGCGGGCTCGTCACAATTCACACCTTTATTTATTGTCAACCCTTTCTGTTTGGATATTCACTTCGTATACAATGCACGCGATTTGTTCCATTGATTTCTTCTCACCTTACAGAATACTAGTTTGTAACATACATATTATACTGCGATTGTTTTCCATTATTCAATTGGTTTGCTTTTAAGAATAATTGAATAACGATTGTGTCATTGTTAGTGTACTCATTTTCAGTATCATATAACAAACAAATTAAAATAACATGTGGAAAATTCTTGCCAAATGAAAACCTGGAATGAGATATACAGTGACCTAGAGTAGTAATAGTTCGATCTGTTCAAGGTTATTTACAGTGCATTTGAAACTTTGCGAGCATTGCAAATTATAATGTCCATGCTAAAACATTAAAACAAAAATAATTTAATTCTTCAAAATGTACGATTAATTATACATTTACACACACAATGTGCATAACTAATAAATCAACCTCCTTATTTTGAACTTGGAAGAAAAAAAATACAATGAATTGTGTTTTAAATTTCAATTCAATGGTGAGTTAGTTGTGTTAGCCCGTAATGTCGGTGGTTGTTTACAGTACTGAAATTAAAGATGGCATCGATAACAATTCTATCAGGTTGTGCTGGGCCGACAATGAGGGCGAGAGGTCGGGAAATTGGGGTGATTTTTCTCCTCTTTGCACGCTAACAGTAAGCAGTAGCGTTCGCAAACAAACTTAGAAGTGAACATTTATAATGCATTGATAGTGATCGATTTAAATTTTAAATTTCGAAATAAGTTTTAATATTTTTGTAATTTTCTAGTAGCAATTTATTTTAAAATTCTATACTCAAAAAGTTAATTCATTTTTATATGATTTTTATCATTTTATGGGTATATATATGGGTATAATATTTATATGGGTATATGATGTTGAACTATGCATTATTATCTACTTGAACTTTGTGATAAATTCAAATAAATATAGTGGATGCAGAAAAACGAACAAAAAAATTACCACGATCATTCAGGACTTAGTAGCCCTCGTATATTATTGTGGTAAGTTTTATATTTGAGGTAAATTGCCGATAAAAAGTATTTAATAGCCCTGCTGGGTATCTATTATTTGAAAATATGTTTGCTCTCCACCAGGCGAGATAACTGCCAAACGTATTTTTTTTCGAATCTTGGCAACTTTATTAATTGTAGCCCATATCAAATTTTATTTTTTTATTTTATTTAGTTAATACTTTACTATGTTTAATACTGTTGTCCTACTTATGTCAATTTAATTAGTTCTAGTTTTAATTTCTATATATTTTGTCTGCAATCATTGTACAAAACCAGTTGGCGCAGTGGCTGGGCAACCGGCTGCCGCGCAACGTGCCTCGGTTTCGATTCCCGCACGGAACAACTCTTTGAGTAATCCACAAATTGTTGTTTCGTATTTGGGTTTCCTGTGTTTGTAAAATTGTATGAGACCATCCTAAGTTTTATTAAACACTAGCTACTCTCGCGCGTATTCACCCACTGCTCAGCTTCATTTGATCGTGGAGTGATGTTTAATAGCCTATAGCACTCATGAACATAGTAGCTATCTATCAGTGAAAGAATTTTGGCAATCCGACCAGCGGTTCCAAACATTACCACAAACTTAAAAACATACAAACTTCCAAATTTTACCTCTTTATAATATTAGTATAGATATAAATAAAAAAAGTTATATTTAGTCTATCACCAATTAAAGGGCTTTTTTAGGGTAAAAGCTAGTCTCTTCCCTCGGCCTAGGTAGAGCGAGAGGGAGAGTCAGACTCTTACTGATTAAAAAACTCCGTATCCTCTTAGGCTGAGGCCGCGGTCAATTGTTGTGCTTGCCACTGAACCCTGGTTGACTAAAAGCACCCTTCTCCTTCTCCTGATCCAGGCTGGGGCTGCAGTACATTGTAGTCCGTGCACCCATTATTTATTCAACTCAGTCCCTAGAAATTGCTTTTCGAAACAAAATTGACACTAAAGAACAGTTTAATTATATTTATATTATAACTTTTGTAAGACATACTAAATTAATTATAAGTTTTTGTATACATTTTGATTCGCCTAGATGCAAATTAATATTATATGCGTGTCTCCCGGTCTTAGCGGTTGATGGAACTTCTCCTGTCCTGGTCTCGGTAAAAGTTTCTTTGATGATAACTTCAACTTTGTAAAATGTGTTTTTTCTAATATACAGGGTGCCCGGTAAAGAATAGATAACCTTGAAATGCCTTTTAGTATATCCTTTGGCCATTCAGAAAAAACAACGAAAAGGAAAGTATCATAGGTAGTACCTAAATTATTATGTCTTGAAGTAAAAGAACTGGGGCTAGTGGTAATACAAAATGATTCTTTAACATTTACGATCATAACATTATTGCATAACCACGATGATTAAACATTGTTTTAAAAATAAATTATGCACGATTTGTCTATAATAAATTAATTACAATTTTTTTATAAAATATTTTTTTTTCGTATTTTTTTTTGTATATTTTCTGAATGGCCATAAGATATACTTAAAGGTATTGCAAGGTTATCCATTCTTTACCGGGCACCCTATATATTTATTTATCGCTGTACTGACTGTTTATACTTACCATCTTAACACCTTTTTTACTGTTCACCTTTAACTAGAAGTAAAACTTCTTGATGCTTCATATAATTTAGACAGTGGCTCGGCTCGTTAGCTTTATCTTGATTAACAGTGAACTAATTATAGAAACAGCTCAACAGCGAACGGACAACTCGAGTGATTAAAGGGTATTCTTAACTAAAAACTGGATACCAAATAAAATAAAAGTAGTATTCTTGAACAAGGCTTTAATGAGCTACATCTTTGGTCGTATCATTGGTTATATGAGAACCTGCACATTCATATTTATACAAATGTGTGTGTGTGTGCACACTATCGTGCGTCTCTCGCCTACAGGAATGCATGAGCTTGTACAGTCGTCAACATAACACCTACGGCATAATTACACATCGAAGTACTTGAAATGTATTAACTATATACCATCTCTGACAATAAAACACTTGATTCACAATTAGTATAACATTTAAAATTTCTATTGGTAAATACTCGTGTACGGAGCATGCAAGGACTATTACAAATTTTAAAATACACATTATTGGCGACTGTACGCAATTAAATGCAAACAATTAATAAATCGTCCGAGAAGACGACAAGTATTCATTTAAAATATCACTAAAGTAACTAATTTGAACTATTTATTCGAATTATGTATTGTTTAATAAACACATAAATATTCACATTTTGCTAATTCAATCAAATATTTTATAATCACCATTGCATAATATAATAGAAGACGATAGTCTATATACTTAGTAAGTAATCTATTTACATAAATAATACAAACATCGTAACAATGTCCATAATAAACTTAACAGTTAATTTACATACATACAAAAAGAAATAACAAATATATTCGAAAATTCAAATAAATTTTTCATAACGGCTTAGCCAGAGTAGAACTAAAAATATTTGAAAGTAACCTAAATATTTGATCGTTAAATATACCTAATTAATTTGAGACTCGATCCATTGTACTATAATACGTACATATAGATGGTTATTATATTTACAGTAACACTGACAGTTTAGTCTAAAATACAATTCATCCATCAAAGACGACAATTCGGCAGTCTTAAAACCCGCGCTCGTTGGGTTCCCGCGTTAGGTCGGTTACACAAACAGCGGTTCACATGCGCCACGGCTACCGAGCCGCCATAACGTCCATTTCGTTCCATCCTTGTACACGCATCTGAACCGCTGAAAATATTCACAGCCCTAAGAATCGCACTGTATCACTCGTCCGTACAGTAACTTCACTCTTACACGTTTAAGATAAAAATACAGACATGATATTGCAACTTTTAACAAATTTATACAAAAAAGGAGATTCATAGATCTTTTACCTACATTCTAATTCAGCATAACTGCTCATCTGAGATCAAATTCTGAGAAAAAAAACTAAAACAGTCCTCCTTCGTCCAGTCATTACTCTAGTAACATAATAATATCATATTTAATTTAAGAAAATTACATACAATGTACGCTAATTACGTGCTGTCATAAACAATCAGAAACATTAACTACAGTTTGGCATTTACTTTGCTTTAGTTTATACGTACACTTAGAAACATGTTCATAATAAGACGAATTTAAAAAGTTCTGTCTTTAAAGAGCTGCGTTAAACACTTGAGAGTTCGTTTGCAACAGCAAATTTTTGACTTTTTTGTATCAATCATTGTTTGGAGCACGCGTGATTAGTTTTGATACTTGGCGTAAGGGTGGGCCGCGTCTCACGCACTATAATCTCAGCTGGACGCCGAGAGGCCGAGTGGCTTGAGGTGCGGCGGGGCGGCGAATGGAGCCGGCGACGAGCCCGACATGTTGTTGTTCAGATCACCGGAGCGGCTCGAGCCGTTCATCAAACCGCTCATTGCGTTGCTTGTCTGTAGAAAATTTATTTAATTAACTTCCTGACTATCAACTCCAGACACATGCAGTATCTAAAACGAGATCTAGATCTTGTTTTCATCCAGGACGTAGCAACATAGAAAATATTAAAGGAATTTAGTAGGTAATAGTTATTTTTGTTCTGTGCGTTTTGTTTTATGTAGTAATTATGCATAACTAAGGAGTCTTCAAGTACCAGTAAATATTTAAAGCAAAAGTTTGAGCAAAAGACTATCTAGATTGTCTTACCGGTGGGGGTGGTAGATGCGTGGTCTGCCTCTTGAGATGCGCAAGCGGCGGCGGGTTGTACGCCATGTTAGCGAATACGAGGCGCTCCTCGTAGTCGTACTCGCACAGGATCTTGTTGTCGCACAGGTAGAACCGGTCACCCACGCAGAACCTTAGACAAACGATGCAGCTTATTGATTTAAATGTCCTGATATGGCAAGTATCAAGTTACTTTAGTCCGGTTTAATTTTACACAGAAATTTATTCTCACATAACTTAAATTACAACGTATATTTATTTTAATTTTACATATTTTAAGGTATTCTGAGAGTTAAAAAATAACGTGCTAAACATAGCCTGTTTGTGCTACCTCAGTCATAATCAAATGTTCACCTGTTACGTACACATCATTATCGACTTTGTAGGTTAATTGCGACACTCACATCATTAGTTAGTACATATAAAATAAGCAAGCTACAAGCAGGAAGATCCAATTAGCGATGCTACCGGAACCTGCTACACAACCCACGCGTTATTAAGGTTAATAATAATTATACGCATCCTATTTCTAATAAGGCACCGTTCGATCTAATCGCAAACATCATTACTTTGATGAAAAGAAACTCGAAAGGCAAGCCACAAAACGTCTAAGGAATAAAATTTACTATCATGAGTGGAAAGGTCAGCGTGAACGAAGAAGGCGCGATAACGTCACGCAAGCGAGCATCCCTCAATGTGGCAAAACAAAAGGTATCGCCTTCGACTCGCCACTGTCCGCCCGGAACCGCCGGTGATAACGGCGACCTTATCTCCCCTCGGTCTCAGCCCCGCGCCCGCACCCCGCGTCTCCGCCACCCTGCCAACTCTTTTGTTTCACTTGTCACAAAAATTAAGCGCAATAGCTCCGCTACAAATGTCTCTTTTTTAAGGGGCCAATTTCCACCGCAACTCAGTCGATTTCGCCGCTCTTAATTAACTTTATTTCCTGTTCTCTTCGTTCCCGACTTTTGTTTTGGGCTCGTCGTTTTTTATTTCGCTATTTTTTGTCTGCAGCTGCGTAATGGAAAAGATGGAAAACGAAATTTTAATGACTGGGTGCAAGTTAAGCTTTGTTCGAAGCGCCATTGTGTCGCTACGGCACCCAAGTCAAGTTTGACGTTTTACGTTAAACGAACATGTACATTGGCTTTACTCCCTCTGCAGTAAGACAAAAGCATTCAGGAGGTATCTGATCAACATCTGTAAGCGAGTAAAACATCATGTCTAAACAAGAACAAAAAAATTCTTTCAATTTCATTTACACTTCATTTAGAAACGCTGTCCCTCAAGTAAATTTACGTTCTGTGGCAGTTCGTCATATAGGTGTAGTAAGTGAGAACATGGCAGCGTGAAGATAGTGGTTGCAGGTGTGGGTGGCGTGGAGCGGCGCGGACGGCGGGCGTGCGAGCCCAGCACGCGGCTTCCGCCGCGGGCCGCCGCCGTCGCTCGCCGCCAGATTGCTACTAAATTATTTAGCCGTTTAGCGATATTCGCCCGTGATATCTGCCGTCCGCTCCGATCGGACAGCCCGCAAATTGGATTCAGATTTCTGCCCGGCGTGGAAATTGATTTGTACGTGATATTTAACAGTTTGCACTGGCGAACCGTAGTTGTTGCATGTTTATCAAACTTTAATACAGCTAATTACCAAAATGCTAATTACCAAAATATCGGTATAGACTTCTGATTACCAAAGTAACAACACAAAGCACCAACCAGGTGCAAACATTTAAGGCCAAGTCAGGGAGCGCTTTGCGTAATACGAAGCCAACTGTTGAATCTGTATTCTAAAAGCACTCGAATGAATATATAATTCGGCGAGAATGTCGCGCGAGATCTACTAACACGGGAAAGGTTCACAAGTGACATATAAACCATTCAGAGCGGCTCCAATCTTCGCGACCTTTCTATTATTTAAACGGACGCAGTCCGGCGAAAATTGCCGTTTTCGCGCCTGCACCCCTACTCTGAACTTTACACGACATTTTGAGGCGATACAGCAAGTAAGGAATACTTTTATACAATTTTTATTATTTTTTACCCATTTAGATTGGTATTTTCTTGATATTACAACAAAACCAGCTTTTGTGAAAAATCCGAAACTGTGACTTTTTCAAAATATCCTGAAAGTCGGCAGCAAAATAAATTCGCTTTACAAATTCAGGTGAGGTGAGTCGTGAGTTCGAGACTAGAATAGGGACGTCGGTATCCGGGCCGGCTGACAATGTCGTGCACCGTACAATTGAATTGAATAAAACAGTCGAAGAGTATTCATATGTTTTGATTAGTAAAGAAATCTCGTTGCCGAGACAATGTTACTTTGGAGAAATATTAAAGTGGGTTTTAACAAATGTATGTTTGGGATTGCAAGTGCTATAAAGCTTTCATATCATTTGTATACTTCTAGAAGTAACCTCTCGGCAGTTCTGCATTTTTACATTAATATGATTCGAGACTTTAGCAGTGCTTCGTATCTTTATCAGTACATCACCGTATCTCCTATACGGGAAAAGTGAGGAGCAGTAAAAATAATATTCATTTTACGACAATGAACTCGACGTTTTACAACTTTTTAATAGAGTGAAGATTTACTCAGGTTGGTACACAGGTAGGACATTGCTAAAGCTTCGGAGTTTAATCAATCTGTTGAAGGGCTACATACGACGTTTATTAATCCCGATTCCAATACGAACACGACACAAACTGAGCGAGGAAATGAAGAACCATTTGCACCTGTATTATTTGCTTTTCTACAAGCCGAGGACACACTAAGACTAGATGTGGTCCGTATGGTATTCACTCGGCTTTAATTAAAACCGACTCCTAACGGCTATTTGTAGGGTTGCCAATTTATTATTGTAAAATTATACCAAAATTTTTCTTGTATAATTGTCATGTAATCTTTTAATAATAAAGATTTTTACATGTTAAATATTGTTTTCATAATGGTAGTTAGAGTCAACTTCAGATAATTCCACTAAAAACTGTTATAAATGGCACCGAGATCGTGTATTATCGGAATATTTAAACAAAATAAGTCCCACAATTTATGAACACTGGATATTAAATGTTTATACAAAAGCACACATTCTCCTCCTTGCGTTTGATTTTATTATGTAGCGGAAAATTTAATCGCGTTTTCACTCCGTGAGATGAATAAACAATATAAACTGCTCTTACATAATACTTCTATCCCTTTCACTCAATAGTTTATTGAAATGCTTTGTCCTGCTCGTAAAATGTGGGATTCAATATGTGTGTAACATGTTCAGATCTTATTTGTTTTCATAAATAATGGGTGGAACTTTTTCGTAGGGGTTCACACTTTGGGTAAATTCTTAAGCTTGCACATTTTGTTGTCTGAATAAACTGTTGTTGGTTTAAAAAAATATTTATTCCATTAGTATTATTATTATGCAAAAAGTCGATTTAAATTTGAAAAAAGAATATTCCATAGGTGAAATTATTATACCCTAACTTCGATCCGCCTCAAAATTAAATTAATTAGTTTTCTGACCTTTTAAATTTACTTCCACGAATAATTCATGACTAAAATTAGCAACATCGGTAAAGGCATATGTAGTTGAATTATAACATTACAATGAAAAGTGACATTCATTTCATCTTTCCTAATTCCTATTTTTACTTACTATACGAGAAAAGTGATATAGTGATACATACCTATGATTGCACTGTTGGCAAGCGAAGCATTCCAGGTGATACACATTGCTGCGTGCGCGCATCACCATCTCAAACGCGGGAATGACTTTATTGCAAGCCGCGCAGTATCCAGTGTTGCCAAACAACCTATAGAAAATAAAAAATATTAATTTAACCAACTTGTACCTACTAATCTTTTAAATGTATCTGCGTAAAAAAAAAATATACCGTCATAAAATTAAATAAAATCATAATTTTTTTAGGCATCGTATGAGCCAAAATAACGTCTCACGATTTTTATGCAATTTATTTTACATCTAGCTTCTGTCACGCGGTTTCACTCGCTGCTCATCATCATCATCATCAGCCTGTTTTTGTCCACTGCTGGACATAGGCTTCCCCAATTGCACCCCACTGAGCTCTCAGCTCTTCTCATCCAACCAATACCAGCCACCCTGCGGATGTCGTCAGTCCACCTAGCTGGAGGGCGCCCTACACTACGTTTGCCTAGCTCGCCGCTCGGTTCAAACAAATCGTAGCGTAATGTTTTATAGCCTAAAGCCTTCCTCAATAAATAATTATTCAATTCGAATCAGTAGTTCTGGCGATTAGCGCGTTCAAACAAACAAACAAACTCTTAAGCTTTATAATATTATATATAAGAATGGTTTTAATGTCGTTATTAAAAATACAGATTTTATAACATACCTCAAGTAATCCCTCTTGCATAGGATGAGATTGGCCCTTGTATACAGGGTGTGCCCAACTTCTCCCAGCCGGCAGTCGCAGCAGCCGCATTTAAGACAGTCCTCGTGCCACAACTGGTCCAGAGCCTTCAGTAAGTAGCGCTCAGTGATCACTTTGCTACATCCAGCACAGATCTAGTTGAAGGAAAAGAATTCTATAGAATTTTTCTCTAGATAAAATCTAAATAATTCTAATTAAGTACCAGTTACATACGTTGAATATTTGATAATGGCAGTAGCTTTTCACAACCCTATAATATTGAAAATGCTGACATACCACATTTCCTTCTGATCAATGTTCAAACAAAAAAAATAATTTATCGCTTCTTTTTAAACATACGTCTCGATACATAATGTTGTTCATATTACCCATATAATAAAAGTGGCAAATCATCAATCAATGGTTCAAGTACCTGTGGTTGGGGCGGTTGGGCAGGCTGTGAGGAGGTCCCGGTCTGCGCAGACGCAGGCAGTGGCGACGCGCGCGCCTCCTTAGCAACCTCCATGGCAAGCATCTGGGTACCTAGCCCTGGACTACCGCCGCTCGCCTGTTGCGGCGTACGCCTCTCGCACTATAACAAACAAATAACATCGTTTAATAATTTATAAACATATAAATCACGTTTACTTTTACTAGTAAAATTCGTTCCCCAAGCTATCGTAATACCTAAGAAAAAAGGTCCCGTTTATGATATTCTTATTCCTAGCAACAAATCAAGTTCAGTCGTATCGCGGTCCATTCATATTGAATCATAAGCCACAATACGTAATCGGCTCGGAACTGTACAGCTCATTCAGACCACTTTATGTTACAGCATAAAGTCCAGGACCATGAAATTTATCGCCTGTAATATTTCTCGAAAAAATTAGCACAACTACTCAAGCGATTAATGAGAACGTGAAACACGACTCGACGTTTCTGAACTATAGCAAATTATGTACCTTAAAATATCGAATAAGTACAGAAATAAGAATAAAAACTGTAATTGAGATCGTGTCGCCGAAAAAAGCAGGTATAGAGTGAAGCACGGACCGCGGCGTCGTCACGCTTAATTAATATTTTAAATACAATTCAATTAAATTTGGCAACCGCTGCAGCCTCGCACTATTTTGTTGGCGACATTCTCGCGCCGATTACGACTGTGCGACCTTTCGGCTCACTTTTTTGGCCACGCACAAACTCGTTTTCTAGTACAACGGATTCGGGTATTATGAGCCAACGTGCCTGAAACAATGCTGGCCATTGTAAGGCCCGTGACGAATGGTCCGTTGCTCATATTTTTGTGTGTTTTCGAGAGTGCGTCCGATCGGCCGCCATAAATAATAGCGCACGGATATCGACCGGAAGCGAGCACACTACACCGACAAATAGTGTCAATGACTGTTCGCTTAATCTACAGAGGAAGCTAATCAACTCGTTCGAGAGTCTCGGAGTACCGGTTAAATACGTGCACCTAATCAAGTGTAGCAAATCGTTTAATTGCACCTATATAATAACAATGGTTTATTGCCTCTCCAACCAATACATTTAATATATAATATACGGTAGTGGAGTCCATAATGCACCATTCATATTGCAATATGTAGGTAAGTACTGTACAACGCATGGAATTTAAAACAATAATAAAAAGCTTTTGTAAATGAAACACATTACTTTAAAGTTTTGTATTCTTGATTTTAAACAATACCTATAACGTCAGTTTGTTCATACCATTCAAGTACTAAACAATAAGAACACTAAAGGAATCGGACTGTCATCAACCGCACAAGACAACTTAAATCGAATCCGTTGAACACAGTGGAATATCAAGAAGTTAATAATAGAATAAAAAGCAAATGAATGCCAGGCCTTCAGTCAATGGAATGGTAGTGCACGACCGAGGTATCGATGCGACATTTTTTGCGAAGTAGACAGGCCGTGAAGCGAGCCTTCGTGAATAATTACCGAGCGGTGACAGCAACACGCTACGCCACTCGGAAAACAACCCGTAGCGAATGCAACCAACCGAGATTAGACGCAGCTCAAGCAAAAAAGCTCACGCCTTCCATTAGCGGTGACTTTCGAAACGTCAATACGCACGAATTAGGATTTTACGAATGTCAGCCGTGGCAACGGTAGAAAAAAAACTATGCAAAAGTAATTTCGCTTGTGATTCGGTGGCAAATTGTTGAGTATTAAGCGGAATAAAATAGAAGAGATGGTCGCGAAGCGCGGGCGGTATTGCAGCGCTGGTACAGCGGTGATGCAGCGGCTGAAATTGAAGGATGGCCGGCGCGGGCCGCCTGGGAGCCCGCATCCGGCGCACCGGACCGACGTTAATGATTAACACAGACGCGGTCCGAGACCAATTATGCGCTGCCACCACACTCCAAATTAGAAACTATTTTCGCCCATTAGTGGCCAACTTCATAATCAATTACACGTTAAAATTTCACAGCGCTGTTTCGGGAGCTCTCTGTTTGGATAATCGGAGTTTGTGGTCCCACGGCGAGCTATTACGTGGCTCTGTACGGGCCATAAAGGTTTTTGTTAGGCTTCCGGCGAATTTTAATGTACGTTTCGAATGCATTTTGGTCCGAGCAACTAAATAATTACATCTGACCATAATTTCCGCTAGATTATAATTTTAGTGTGATAAAAAATGTTAATGTATTTAAAAAAGCTGCTAAAAATTCTCCTATTGTCGTTTAATCTTTCAGTATTGTGGTTAAAACTGTAATTATGTGTTAAATAAGTACCTAATTTAAGTATCCTAACTTTAAACTTAACGTTAAGCCAAAAAAGAAAACAAATCTTCTAGAAGATTGTTCGAGACAGACAACACTAATAGGATTGAGTGCACTCCGCTAATCATAATTCATCAGCGAGATTAAAGAATAAGCGGCGCGATGAGGGGGATACGGGGCTTCAGTAACCCTCCCTCCCCAGCCGCCTACACTCTGCTGGCGTTCGGATGAGACTGAGAGACAATATGATTGCCACACCTGCGGAAACGACGCAAAGTAACGAGACGAGAAGCTAAATAATTCAACCAACTAACAACGCCGCAAATGTTGCTCCACTCTATTTTTTGCACACTAAATGTGCGGAACATGAACAATTTACTTGCTAATTAGCTTAAAATTATAAGCAAAATTAAGGAGCGGCTTGCTGTAATCTAAATGGAGCCGACATTACCATTTTGATTGAATGTTAATGAGAATGAGACACGAGAAAAAAATAATTAATTAATTAAATTTCTAAAAAAAACATCAGGTATAGCAGGTATATGTATGCCGTTGTTTAGTGTGATATGTAGATGTTTTGTTACTTTATACATAACACTTTTAGTAGAAAGAAAAATTCAAAGTAGAGCACGTTTCTCAGCGTATCAACTACACGGGTACTTATTTAGCAGATTGCTTTCCTTTAAGTTGTTCTTTAATCTAGGTATGGCCGTGGGCCGCGGTGCTTTACTTCACACCCTCTCTACGTCACATCCGGCCGGCTCCTGCTACAATCCTACAAAGGATGTTCGCACGCACTTTCATATTAAACTCCTTGCAGTCATGCACTCGGTGGAAGAAAAGTTTTACCACCGGTTGCTTTCAATTTTGGATTTGTTTTCTATTTGGAATATTAAAAAGTTACTACCTATATATTGAACATACGCATACATATTAAGAAATGTGAATTTTGACAACAAAACAAAGCGTGTAAAGATACGTTTATGATTTGAAATAATAAAGTTAGCTATAATAAAGGGAATACAGTTTCTTATCTCAACAACTATAAAGGGTTGTCAACGAGGTGATCAGTAGACGATGGCCAATTAGAATACGAATGTGAGGAGTATTATCATTCGCGCGCCACAGAACGGCAACCGCGAACTCGACGCGGAATTTCGTTAATGCCAACCCATATTGGATTAGTGGCGGCACCCGACCGCCGCAATAATATAACGAAATTCAAACATTAATAGGCTCAAACACAATCACGGATGGCCGCATAATCGAGTTAGCTGCTATTCGGTTAAACCCCTATCGCGTAATCTGCCCCATTGTCTGACAGTCGTTGTGCTGATCATGAGGGCCGATTATTGTGGCAATTTCGTGTTTATTGTTTTCAGGTGTCTCCTGTCACCCCGGCGCGCGTCCTGAAGGAGGAGCACAAAGCCAGCCTTATCTCAAGCGAGACAATCTCGTAAAATGTTACCGTGAACGTCTGTAACATTTCCAAAACAATGCTCCGTAATTGTTACTTCACGAAAATTACTTCAATGTCTGCTTGTGACACTTTCCAATAACTGGACAGGAACATTACAAGAAACATAATCTGACCATCTAACAATAGAATAACAAAACGGCGAGGCGGATAATAAACAAACTCCCTCGGCAGTCCAAGTGATACTCAGGTGGAATATACGTCGGACAAGTTAAAAGTTTCACCTCAGTTAGATGCAGCTGAAGGAACAAATAAGTAGATAGAAGCTACGTCAAAACTGCCAAAAACAAAACTATAAAGTTTGCTTTATAACGGGTAGATATCGCTTTATCTATTTGAGATGTCGAACTCAATTTGGATTGGAGAACTTGTCTTTTATAACTTCTAGTGAACGATCTTTTGTTCATAACACCACATCTTATTACAGTTTCGGTTTTCTTATCTGATCCTATTTGAATGTAAACTATTCCATGATTAAGTCAATCGCATTAATTAAAAGCAAGTTAATTGAATAGCAGTCAGTAAAACATTCAGTGACGTGTTCATTTGAAGTGGTCTAATAGCTTTGACCAAGTTACAATTTCAAATTAATGTTTAATAGATAGAATAGTAAATCTATAAGTTAATGAAGCGGACCAGTTATTGATATGTACTTTGTGTCTCGATACATATAATAACATTGAAAGCTTTTATGAATACTTAACCGTCGGAGGCGCGTTAACGTAAGTGAGTGAAACGACGCGTTGTAACGTCACCGATAGCAAATTCTGCTGATTTTTTATTAGATGATAAAACAAACGTCTCGTATTAATTATGAGTCGCGATGCAGTCACATCCCTATTGATCGTAAAGTATCGTTGATAGCCGCTGTAAAATGTTCCAAATCGTTGTCGTGATAATTTATGAAGCATGTTTATGGACGAATTTATGACGTTATCTCTGTATTCCCCGTATATGTATTTAATACGGCGGATTCACTAGCATCCATCCTGTGATTAACGTCATGATTTTCAACTCCCGAAATATATTTTTCCGAGATGAGTTGTAAAGCTAAATTAGTAAACGCCTCGCGCGACGAGGGGCAAAGTGAATTAAAGCAACTTGGAGCCTATTACGTGAAGTGAGTTATAAAATAAAGCCGCGGCGAGTAACTTCATACATTACAAGCCGATAACCAGACGAGACTTCTGAGACACAAACCAGTCCCTTTTAGTGAAATTGAAAACTTTTTCTGTTACTCATACCGCGGCCACGACACGGCTCCTTTTAAATCAATTGCCTTTTATAATTAACTTACTCCGTTATTGGAGTGCACTCGCTCGTTGACTCAATTAAAATTCAATCGAGATGTAAATCTATCTATTAAAGAACGAGTTTTTCTGGCAGATATAATTGAATAAAATTGTTTTCTAGATAAGTGTTGGTTACATACGGGCTTTGAGTGCAGATATTACTTACTTAGCAATCCTTTATCGCGACGATTAAATTATCAACACATTCTGGTTCACTTTACGACGTCAGGAACGCGTCAGTTTCTTATCCTCATTTTATGTTTAGATCCAGCGCCACAAATGGCTGCGGGACTACAGTATGAGTAAACAAGTGAAAATATTATTAATATTAATTTATCATAAGAGTAATAAGGGATAGATGTAATGGAGTGGGTCATGGATGGTGTTCAACAATAAAGTGTCAATTCTGAAATTATGCAGTCCCCTCTAATGCAATGAATGCCCCCGTTGCCTGCCCAGGGAGCGCCACTTTTACCTAATTCTTATTAAACATTTATTAGATTAGACAAAAGCTATCGGAGGTAACGTTCTCGATGTTTTATTTATGATCTTTTATTGGATTGCTATTTCCTCTCTGTTATGCTTTAGGCAATCTCTAAGTGTCTGAGATATTATTGTCTGGCTAGGAAGTGGAACTTATTTCAGATTGGCTGCTACTGTTTTAGTTTTAACAGTATTAGCAATAGTTTCTAAATTGTTTTCATAATGTGAAGGTACTTAACAACTTTCTATTTTTTAAATAAAAATGTACATATTAGTACTAACGTTAATCTGTCCTTTATTTCATTGATTACAACATATAAAGTGTGAAATGTATATAGACAAACAAATGACACATATAGGTAATTAATGACTTTGCTTGTAAAAAGTATCAATTGTAAAATTATGCAACTCTCAGACTCTTTAACTACTGTTGTCAACCTCATTGGACGGTACGCAACGCCCAGCTGATCGCATTTTTCCTTTTCAGATATTATTTAATCAGAGTTATGCGAGCCATTAATTAAATTACGTTAGCCAAGGGCTCGGCTATAAGAAAATTGCTTTTATTTGTGGGGAGTCATTCAATTAAACATTCATTCATTTGCGGCCCATCGAGTGGCATCCATTACGTTTAATTATAATTTAGTCTGACTCTTTAATAATTACATTATAATGTTACCGGCGTATGCGCTATCGCCAACACCGAAACTTATAAATATATTTATTGTTAAACTCGAATTATAGTAATTATCTTGTCCACATTATGATGTATGTGTGTTGAATAAAATCAGCGAATAATAAATTAATATCAAATGTGTACACGGTACAAAAAATTTTGAAAGTAGCTCTGCTTAGATGAAGGTATTTTTTATTTTAGTAAAAAAGGAACAACACACGTTTACATTATTTAAACTTAGAACTAGTCAATACAAAAAAGTTTAGGTTATAATATAACCCACATTATGGTAATATGGTATTCATTTAAAAAGGTGTTGTAAGACATTGATGGAAAACTATACAATGTGTAATCAATATTTGTTTGTGTAATACCGGTACACTTTCGATATTAACATTAACAAGCACTTACCTTATACAGCGAATAGTTCGATATTCCCACGAGACGGGTACCATAGGTGGCAATAATTAGTCGTAAGTTCGTTAACTAAGTAACTGACTACGCAATGCCGGTGCGTAATTAAATCACTCAATTAGGGTTATTAAAAAACTCAATCTAAATTAAATTAACTATATATACTCGCTTTACAAACTAATTTAGCCTCCTTAATTATATTATAATGTGTAATTGTACGAAAGGCCTCGTTTCTTAAATTAGCTACGTTTGAATTAATCAGTTTACGTTGATGCATAAATAGGTACGAAATGAAATGAACTAACTGTACGCTAACTTAACCTTAATTGCAAACAAATATTTCTATACAATATACGTACTAAGTATGAGACACTGTAGAGAACAGAATCTGATGAAAACTTTCAATAAGCTTGACATTAATTGGCATCAAAGCTGGTAGCGAGCGCCTGCACAACTTTACACCACTCATTATACTTATTGCACTTAATTAAAAAGTGTTGAGATATCACAACATGGCTGTAAACAATAGCGAATACTTTCATAACAACGAGCTTATTAATATAATAATTGAGATACACTCACCGCACACTAAATTGTACTAATTAAAACAAAAACATTCTTCACATTGTAATTACTGCCTAATTTAATATAGTTTAGTGATGTATCGTTCGTATGTGAACTGAGATCGAGACGCGTGTTAACTAAACGCATTCGTTTTTAAAACTGAATGAATGAGTGGCACTCTATCGGAGCGCTTCCTGCCGACTGTGATAACACCCCGCGCGCTTAATGAGACGTCTGTTACCATTGTAACCACTTTAGCTAATTATTGTGAACATTTAATGGCTACGTAATGATCATTGCGTATTTTACTATCGATGTCGGCAAACGTTTCCGTTACAACATGATAATTGCCAGTGAAAACTCTTCACGCTCGTATTGATTTCACTTACCATAGTAGCCGCTTATTATAAAAAAATACAAAATCAATTAACAAAGAAAGATTTTTTGATATAAATTTCATATACCGCCGAGGCTTTCGGTTATTTTCCATAACAAGAACCAAATAACGGAGGAACATTGAAGTTGAAGAATCATAGTTTATTTTTGAGATTGCCCACGTGCAGTGGTAGAAAAAAGAGTAATATTATTTTTCAATTCCCATACAAAAGTGGTCGGTGCGCGGCGGCAAATTGGTTGTATTGTCAATTTGGGCAGTGCGTGCCGGAGCGCAGATGAAATGTTTATTTTCAATTTCCGCCATTTTCCCGCCGCGTCCGCCGCAGGATTAGGATGCGAAACAACTACACTATCCATGGCTAACCTAGTTTTTTTTAATACTGGCAACATGCTCACCTCGACTAACTTACTATAAAACTTTTTTAATATCAGAAATAACAGCCGATGCATTAATTAACATGTTTTTAATGTAATAAAGGAAGTGGGTGGATACAACATGTGTATAATATAATAGTTTAGAGTTACAGATTATGATTATCTAATTATGTGAATTAAAAAACGTATCGAACTGATATACATATATAACAGCCATATATTTCGTCTTGAGCAAAATTATATCTCACAATGTAACTGAATACGTAAGATTCAACTTGCGTTACTTTAATTCGCTACACCCTGTACAGGGTGTGGAGACCCTTTAATGTTTGAAACTTACTTGTAGGTATAATTAGTGAAAAGAAAAATAATATCTGGCTAATAATATGTATATTAAATTGTGACATTTTAATCTAAAAAAGTACCTAAGAAGAAGTATTCTACGAATTCAATTTAATACTAATGACCATTTACATACGTATTATTTTCCAATGAATGCCAATAACAAAAATAGCTTTAATGGCTAACAGTTGACGGATCAACAGTTAGGTTCTAGAAAGCCGGATAATCAGAAGTCAATTGTGTGCCAAAGGTGGGTAATTGCATGTAATCGGTCACAGCCGAGCGATGAGGGGTCGCGCACGATTTTAATGCTCAATTCACGATTTGCAATCCTTAAGAAATTGTCAAAACTGTACTGAAGATTCAACACGCTTCGTATTAATTTACCGATGCTCCTTATATTATAATCGCGTGAATTTCTTAGTATTAATGCATAGATGCATGTCAGTTAAAAACTACTGAACTTACAAGAATGAAATTTGGCATAGATATAGATTTTAATATTAAATAATTTTACTGAATCAAGAAACAAAATCAAAGAAATTAATTTCATATTAATAATCAAACCTCACAATGGTGAAACGTTTCAAAATACTTAGATTCACCCGTCAGTCTGTCCGTCATTCAGTGAAATGGAAGTCAGTCAGATGAAGCCGAGATTCTGGACTAGATTTAAATAAAAAAACTGTTACAAGGAAGCTTAGACAAATACTCTAAATAAAGGCATACATTTACATAAATGTAAAAACAAATACTTGTATAATAAAATAAATTTCTGTAGAGAAAATAAGCGCATGGGTAACAACTGTCAACTGAGAGATTTTATTAATAAAGTTGCACGAACATCGCTAACTAGTTTTTATACAGAAAAGTTACATAACATCAGCCCTTCCCGGAAAGCGTAGGTTTGTACTGTGCACTTACTCTTCATGTAATAAATATCACATTTTTTCATAGAATTTGGACTTAATGCTTTGCATCCGTCATAGAAACAAAACTAGGAATATTTATTTTCAATATAGGGTACTAAAAGACGGATCACCTGAAGGTAAGAAGTGCCGCCAATGCATATATCGCAGCCAAATTAGCTGAATTAGCCATCCAACCATCGGCCTGAATGACTAGTCGTTTGATTGAATAGCTAAATTTCTGGTAAGGCTGTAAGTTGAAGACTGACGGGATTGTTATAAAAACCGAGTTGCTACCAAAAAGGTAGGTTAAATTAAAACTGGAAACCGCACGGATATCATATCGCCAAATAAACAGCTACTCGAATTTATAAGTGCTAGGATATGGATTGAACGTCTATTTTAACCAGGTAGCTGCAACAGATACACCATAGAGATTACAAGTTCGTTACTCGTCTTTTGTGAGTTGTTAGAGATTTGGGTATTGGAGATGTAGGGAAAGGATTATGTCTCTGGCAAACCTTACTCACGAGGCGTTACATAACGCAAGCGTGGTTTCACGACCGTTTCATCTTTACATTTTATATATACACCCCTAATTAATTAGAAATACTAAACGAAAGAATATAGACTTCTTGTACAACGGTCACTTATTCATAATTTTAGATCCTGTCTCTATTTATACATTCAGCTTAGGTAATGAAAGCACTAGGTAAACATAAAGTAAAGACCGTTAACATTATTCTTAAGAAAAAAACTCGAACTTCAAACTGTTATAAGATAAGTAATTAATAATACAAGTAAGTACATGTAGGTACAGTCACTGTTTAAAATACTGCATCTTAATTGGTTCACAGGATCCTTCGCCGGTGGTATGTAAGTTAAATATTAGCACATTTTATTACCCTGTGTTTACCATGGGCTTCCTTTGAGATACTTTGACGTCGCCACCGGCATTTTCATAGATAAAGGGATGCGACCGGACGTTCCTACTAATATTGTACCTATATGTATGCGTTAGTTTTGTCTGATCTTTGCTTACACAGGACATGGGGGACTGTTTTATACACTCATTGATATCTCTTTGAGTTTCTCTTCCCTGTAAGACAATTAAAATAAACTATCATTTTGTAAGGCGTGTTTTTTAAGTTGGGTTCATCATCATCATCATCTTCCTGCCCTTGTCCCGTTTTATTTGGGGTCGGCGCAATATGTTTTTTTCCTTCCATTCTGTCCTGTCAACCGTCACGCTATCACTAACTCATCTGTCTTCCATATCACTAACTTGTTTACATAGATTATTATAGATACGTTTGAGATAAACGCAGACGCGTATCGGATTACTTTATTTTATTCAAAAATAACAGACTTCATTTTATAAAATTCAAATTTTTATATGTTAAAATTTAAAACCAGTATTGTCATAAATGTTAAGATCAGTCAACTCGTATTTAGTGTCTATATTTAGTGTGAAATAAAATTTAAAATATTTTTAAACACGTGCAACATACAGCAATGAGTATCTTTTAGATTTTCTGATAGACAATGCCCACGCTACCAGCAAACCAACTCTCGTTCCTAGATTATAGCGTAAAAGTCGGTAATTTTCCTGACATTCTACTTCAAAAGGGCTCTTCAACAATTCTATGTCATTTGGTTCAACAAGCGGATACGTACATAGACTATACTGCGGGTTTCAACGTAATAACGTACAATTTGATAACTACAGTTAATGGCATCGAGGAAAACACTGATTCATTATTAAACAGTATGTCCGTATGTCGCGTTATTACAGGTTTATTCTACAAATTGTCTAGGACACGAATAGCGAATTACAATTCTATTTATTCTTTCTTTGTATTGTCAGAACCACCTATGCAAAGTTTTAGTCACGATTTTGATTCGTTTATGATGTAGGTAAGTGTTGACAAATTGTTTAAAGTTAGAATTACAAATATGACCAGAGACTAGATCTTTAGACTAATGCGTCATCTTTAATTCCATATACGAAATGATTATAAAAGTATGTATAATATAGTCACAAGAATTGATAATTAGAAAAATATTCAACGGTTATAGTAATTCATGTTATCTCAATGTTAGCAAATATTCTACGGCAATAACATAAACAGCCATGGGTCGAATATGCACCGTATTAGATGGGCGAGGTGTCACATTTAGGCGCACATACTTGGAACAAATGAATGTGTAACACGAGGACGCGCACATGCCGGCGCGTTACAGGAATACCGACAGGATGGCCACGGGCTTATTAACTCCCTCCATTAATTAAATTATTAGAAATCTCGAGCCGGACTAATTAATGAAGAATTCCAACATTTCGGTCCACCTATCGGGCTTTAATTAAAATTGACAAAGCCGCGGGCGAGCGCTCTCGCTCGCCAAATATCGCCTCTATTAATGAAATGATCACTCCAAACTAATTAAATTATGGAGGTAATGGTGCGTGCAAGTGATACCGGCCGCGGGACGATTCTGACAACTGCCTGTGTAATGTAACACCTACGCACCACTCCACTGCACCAGCTTTTAAACTCGATAAAAGAGATCCATCGACTATATAATTAAATTTTTTACTCCGCTATAATTTGTACAAAGGTCCTCGATGGAAACCACTTATTCGGCGAAAGCGTAACACGTAATCAGTAAGCGAACTCGATCAATATGTAGTCATTTTTTAACCGTTCAGTTAATTGGTGTTACCATGTTAGGGTACCCGTATAATTTCGTGTGATTTCAATATCCTGCAAATTAATGGTCGCTACACAGGTAGGTACACGGTACATATTAATAATTTCATACATACGTTGCCCAATTATTTTAAAACTACTCTACGTTGTAGCTAATGAGATGTCGAGCAATAATAACGAGCAATTAAAACGAATCGTACAAGAGCATAATGCCAGCTCTGTACTACACGAACTTTCAACCTTACTTACAATAACAATTACAGTCTGTATATTATTAAACCTCTTAATGGATACCCGTTTTCCAATTAGCGTTTATTCTGTAATTGAGATCATTAATGGGTTTCAAAAGCTATTACTTCTAGAATTTGAGTTAGTTACTGTGGCTGGAAATAACGAGTTGAGTGAGCCATGGGAAGGGACAGTCAGTGTTCATTTGAATGAGACTTAGTATGTAGCGGGCTCGGCACGACACGGCGCGACGCGACGCTAGGCGCAGCGACATTAAAATGAGTAATTATAATAAAGCTGATATGTCCTCATAATTAACTAAGCCTGATGAAGAGTGCTTTGACGAGAGCCACGACCGCTTAGCCGCTTCAGCGCTTAATATTTTTATGAACATTAAAAAACATATATTTTGTTCACGTTTTTCTTAGTCAA